GCCCGGCCGACTTCACGTTTATACACACCCATGCAAAAAGCATCCAGGTAGAGACAAAGAGCCTTCCCTGCACCCTAAAAGTTTCCCAGAAATTGTTCCCAGTTAGCATATTTATTTTTGTAAAGGTAATGCATGCCCATCATATAACATTCAAAAAGGTATGTAGAGAACCAAGTGTCCCCCCAGCCCTGTCCTCTAGCCACCCAGTTTCCCTCCCTAGGGGAAGCCATCAATATGTGTTTCTTATGTATCCCCTGTTGAGCTTCTTTTCCTCATTTTGGTTTGGCGGTGTTGGCATTTGTATTTGGAATTACAGGCAGGGAGCATCATATACCTTAGTGTTTAGGGCCTCTAAGATCAACCAGCCCTGAGAAAATCAGCCATGGCGAGGACCTTGGTCCCCAGCCCCCCGGAGATAGGCCCCCTGGTGGGAGTCCTGGGGCGGGGCAGAGGCCTAGGGACAAGAATCAGAAAGGACCCAAGTTTGACAGGGCTGCTCAGGGTCATGCTGTCCATCCCTCTGCCACAGTGGCATGGACAAAACGCATATGTTGGTTAGAGAAGTGCACCCTTCTCTCTTGCAAGCACTGGCAAGGTCTTAACTATCAGTCTCCCGCTCCCATGGCAGCCCCTTTGCACAAGGAGGCTCTTAATCTCTGTTCTTTGAAGCCCTGAGGGCTGGTGTATAGGAGTTCAAAGCATTGGCTTTGGAACCGGCCTGTCTGGGTTTGAATCCTGGCACTGCAGCTGACTCACTGAGGGACTCAGGCAATGCCTTACGCTTCCTGAGCCTCAGGTTCCTTGTCTGTGAGATGATAAAGATAGCCCCTATTTCATAGGGCTGTGGTGAGAAATCAATCAGACGAGGCATGTGAACGCCATTATAGCACAGCACCCGGCATCCAGCAGGACTCCCTCGCTGACAGCTGTCACCGCCATCATTGTCATTAGCGTGGGCCAGGGAGGGCTGTGTAAAAGCAGCTGGTGGAGGAGGAAGAGATGCCGTGTGAGCGTCTCGGTTCACATGCATGAAGTGTGATCTGGGCCTGGAGTGTGCAATGCACACGTGTGTCCTTACTGCATGTGTTGTCACATGTGTGCAATGCCATGCTCCTAAGCCTTTGATTGCAGACGTGTGGGAAGTGGGCCCCGTCCCCACCCCCAGTGCCACCGTGCTCTGCTTCTCTTCCCTTGCTCTGCTCTAAAACGAGAAGTGCAAGTGAGTTCCCCCAAGGGGTCGGCCGCGCCTCTTCCTGTCCCCGCCCTGCCGGCCGCCCCAGGCCAGTGGAGTGGCAGCCCCAGAACTGGGACCACCAGGGGTGGTGAAGCGGCCTGGCACTGGGAGCTGCATTTAAGGCTTAGTCCCTGAATTCTCCGCCTGCCCAGACTAGCTGCACCTCCTCATTCCCTGCGCCCCCTTCCTCTCCGGAAGCCCCCAGGATGGTGAGGTAAGGGCCTGCCACCCACGGTAGACAGGAGGCAAGGGTGCCTGGTGCCCGCGGGACCCCTCCTCACTGCCCTGCCTGGGCCGCCCAGGTGGTTTCACCGAGACCTCAGTGGGCTGGATGCAGAGACCCTGCTCAAGGGCCGCGGTGTCCATGGCAGCTTCCTGGCTCGGCCCAGTCGCAAGAACCAGGGCGACTTCTCGCTCTCTGTCAGGTAGGTGGCCCCCCCACCCCCGGCGTTTTGGCCACTATCTTGTGCCGTCCAGGCCCTGAACCACTCATTCCTGGTTCCCCGTGGCAGTGCCGACTCCCCGACCCCCACGCCCTGTCTGTGCCCTCGCGCCCCACCCCCGCCCTCCCCACCCCTGTCTGTGCCCACCCATGCCCATGTGTGCCCCCACCCAGGACCTCAGCCGATCCCTGCCCTCCTGCTTTACTCCTGCACCGACTGGCCTCACCGCCTGGTGCCCTGCAGGGTGGGGGATCAGGTGACCCATATTCGGATCCAGAACTCAGGGGATTTCTATGACCTGTATGGAGGGGAGAAGTTCGCGACGCTGACAGAGCTGGTGGAGTACTACACTCAGCAGCAGGGCGTCCTGCAAGACCGCGACGGCACCATCATCCACCTCAAGTACCCGCTGAACTGCTCCGATCCCACCAGTGAGAGGTGAGGCCTCTGTACCCCCGCCACTCGCAAGCAAGGGTGAGTCGGCTCCCGCCCTGAGCGGCCAGGGAGACAGGGAGCCTGGCACCCGGCACTGCCTGCCCTCCATCCCCTCCCCTCCCCGCACCGGCTGGGGCTCTCAGTGTCCCTCCTTCATGCTGTCCTGTGGCCTGGTGTCTCAGAGCCTAACCTACCACCCTTTCCACCGAACCCCGAGGAAGCCAGAGAAAGCTGCCTTGCCCTATACCAGGGGCCCTGGCCGCTGCAGCCCAGGTCCCACTAGACACAGGGAGGCCACTGCTGGTGACCAGCGTATCGTGCCGGCCAGCCCTGTTGTTAGAAAGCTCTTCCTCCTCTGGAAGCCAGCCTGCCCTCCTCCGTCTGCCTCTCACCCCAGTGCATGTTAGGACAGTGAGGAGCTGACACTGCGGATGAGGATGGGGATGAACGGTTGCCAGGACACTTGATACCTTGTCCCAGCCGCCCAGTGGGGATGGGTCTGTCCTGTGGGGTCAAATACAGAGATCACTGAAAGCAGGATGTGAAGTGTTCACCTGTGTAAAGGGTCTCGCACTGTCCCAGGCACAGAATAATACTCCAGGCATTTCCTTCCTGTGCCCTCCTCGACTCCTCCTGTGGTCTTCCAAAGGCATGGATGGGGGGCTGGGGGGCTCTGAACACTCCTCAGGACACCATGGCTCCTTTCAGCAGCCACATCTCAATGCCAGATCCTCTTAAAGGGCAGCGGAATAACGCTAGGGGGTTTTCACACGGACCCCTGGGCCAAGCCGCCTTGCCCTTGCCCTGCATTCGTGGATCGATTGTTGAAATGATTGGGAAACTTGCTTCTGCCAGCTTGCAGCCTTTCTGAGATTCGGGCCTCCAAACTGCATCAATATTTTTGGTCAAGTCACTGATTGAAACTTAGAGCTGGATTCGGTCGCGGTACAGCCCTGTGGCCCACCTGGGAGGCCTCCTTTCCTGGATCTGCCTCCTTCAAGGCCTTCCTCGTCTGAGCCTCACATGGCTGGCTCTGTGTCTGCCCCCTGCCCTTCCTCTTCCCCACTGCAACACTCAGGGGGCTTCTGCCAGTGAGACCCTCTAAAGCTCATGTCCTCTGTTTCTCCTTGTCTCAAGCTAGGAGGAGGAGGACGGGCTGACCAGTGCCTAGAGTTGGAAGAGAAGAGCAGGGTCCCAGGAGGCCCCTGCAGAGGAGGCTGAGGCCTGGGTTCAAAGAGAAGAAAGAGAAGGAATGGAGGGCAGTGCTGGGGCAGGAGGTTAAGACCGGGGAAGCCACACTGAAGGCCCTTTTGGGTGACCCATCCCAGGAGCCAGTGTCACCCCCGAACCTGGGAATGTGTGAGAGACTTTCTCCCAGGTTCTGCTGTGTCCCCTGCCTTGTCTGTGGCACCTCCTTCTCTGCGGGAATTTGCATCTGTCCCTCGGTGGCTCTGCGCTTCCTGTGGTCAGCCTGACATTTGCATGGAGACTTCCTCATCCTGGGGCCCAAGGGAAGGGGCTCAGCCCCCTCCCTGCTGCCTGGGGTCCTAGCCTGTCCCCAAGTGGTGGGCTGAAGTGGCCTAATGGGGTATGGAGGCTCTGGGGGGTCTCTCGGCTGGAGTCACCTCTGGGCAGGGGTGAGATGGGTTGGGACAGACTGGTCCTCCCCTCTTCCCCCCATCCCTGCGGTTGGAAAATTTGCCCGCCCTCCCCTTGTCCCTGGGCTGAGGAAACCTCACAACCTCACTTCTCACTCTCTCCCCAGAAGGAGTTTTGTGTTTTTTCCATCACGTGGTTTCCTGTGGGGCAGGGCATTGTGGGGCTACAGTTTCCTCCTGGGAAAGGGGTGTGCTTTGGGGAAAGGGCTTAGTTCTGCTTTCTGCCCCGACAGCCCCTTTGAATCCCTTTGAACCCTTTTGAACCCTGGGCTCCCCTTCAGTGACATCATCCAGGGCACCCCAGAGCCCCCTACACCACTCTTTCCCCAGTGGGGTTGTCCTCCCCGCCTCCCTGGGGGAGCGCACCCCATTGGCCTTCCTTGTGACTTGTGCCTCTCTGTCCATCTCCTGCCACTCCCTGTGGTGTGGCCTTGGTCTGTGTTTCTCTTTGCCTCTGGTCTCTGCCGGGGCACAGCCTGATCCTTCATGGAGACTCTTCCTTAGTTTCCCTCTTCCAAATATTTGGAATATTGCCAGCCTTTCTGCCTTTCAGAGGTGGTCTCTGGGTTCAAAGCCTGGTCAGAATTCTGGAGGCTAAGATAGCTTGAGCCTGGGAGGTCAAGGCTGCAGAGAGCCATAACGGTGCCCCTGCACTCCAGCCTGGGCAACAGAGCTCTGGAGGCTTGCCTTGGAGTCCATCAGGGGCCCTAGGCCAGTGAGTAACAGCTCAGCGTCAGTTTCCTCATCTATAAAACGGGGGTAATATCATACCCAGCCCTCAGCATGTTTGTGAGAGGCATCAATACGATGGTGGATTTGGAACCATCTAGCGCAGTGCCTGGCCACAGTAGGTGCTCGATTTCCTGCCCCTCTCTGTGAATATCTTTGCTCAGCGCCTTCCCCTGTGGCCTGGGTCTCACCTTCCCTGACGCTGCCTTCTGTAGGTGGTACCATGGCCACATGTCTGGAGGGCAGGCAGAGACGCTGCTGCAGGCCAAGGGCGAGCCCTGGACGTTTCTTGTGCGTGAGAGCCTCAGCCAGCCCGGAGATTTTGTGCTATCTGTGCTTAGTGACCAGCCCAAGGCTGGCCCAGGCTCCCCGCTCAGGGTCACCCACATCAAGGTCATGTGTGAGGTAAGGCAGCCAGGTGGTGGGGGAGCCTCTGCTGAGGCTCCTGTCTGTGACCGCAGAGTGGGTGGCAGGGAGGCTCTGCCTGGGCTTGAATTCAAGGCTGGGGCCCAGGGAGGGAGACTCGAGCCCTGTGAGTGGCCTTATTTGGCTCCCTCCAGGGTGGACGCTACACAGTGGGTGGTTCAGAGACCTTCGACAGCCTCACGGACCTGGTGGAGCACTTCAAGAAGACGGGGATTGAGGAGGCCTCAGGTGCCTTTGTCTACCTGCGGCAGGTCAGGCGGGGACCCAGCTGCTTCCTCCCTTCCCCTGAGCTGTCCCCCAGGTGTGAGCTTCTGAGACCTCTGAGTTGCTGACTTCTCGCTCTCCCCTATCCCAGCCGTACTACGCCACCAGGGTGAATGCGGCTGACATTGAGAACCGAGTCTTGGAACTGAACAAGAAGAAGGAGTCCGAGGATACAGCCAAGGCTGGCTTCTGGGAGGAGTTTGAGGTGCATGGTGGGGAACCGGCAGGGCTGGGGCAGCTGAGGTGGTGGCGGCCGCGTGGGGCCCCAGGCGGACACCTTCCTCCCCTTGCCCACCTCTGCTCCTGACCCATCCCACGTGAGCTCCCCCGATGGGTGCTCTCTCTGGGAGGTGATGCTCATTTCCTCACCCACATCTCAGAGTTTGCAGAAGCAGGAGGTGAAGAACTTGCACCAGCGTCTGGAAGGGCAGCGGCCAGAGAACAAGGGCAAGAACCGCTATAAGAACATTCTGCCCTGTGAGCACCCAGCCTGCCCCATTCACCCAGGAGACCGCCCCACCCCAGCCACTGCCCCTGCCCCATTCACCCAGGAGACCTCCCCTGCTGCAGCCCCTGCCCCTGCCCCATTCACCCAGGAGACTGCCCCGCCCCAGCCGCCGCCCCTGCCCCATTCACCCAGGAGACCGCCCCGCCCCAGCTGCCGCCTCTATCTCACAGGTCTCCACCCTCCACTCCAGGAGGGGCCATCTCCCCACACCCCTTCTCCAAAAGGCCTCTACTCCTCCCAGAAGTGCCTCCCCACCATCAGCAGGCAGGCTGCCCCTTGCTCCCAACCTCCTTCTTGTGAATCCCCTCACTCCCTCCGTACAGATGATCCCCCACCCCTGCTGCCTACAGTCCCCCGCAAGCCTCATGGCTTCTGAGACCAGAACGGCCTGTTAGCTCAGGAGGGTCTGACGCAGGTGTGGTGAGTCCCTGGCTGACCCAGGCCATCTCGCCTCCTCTCCACCCACTCCCAGTTGACCACAGCCGAGTGATCCTGCAGGGACGTGACAGTAACATCCCTGGGTCCGACTATATCAATGCCAACTACATCAAGGTCAGTGGTGTGGGTCATGTGGGAGGAGAGGCTGGGCCCTGGGAATTCCCTGTCTGGTGGGGGACCCTAGATCCAGAGACACCTGGGCAAAGCCAAAGCTGGCTTCTTGCAGGGGTGAGGGGAGCAGTGGTTCAGGCCCTGTGCTGGGCTGAGGGGCTCACTGTTTTGGGGTGCGTCTCTCCACGCTTGTGTCCAGAACCAGCTGCTAGGCCCTGATGAGAACACTAAGACCTACATCGCCAGCCAGGGCTGTCTAGAGGCCACGGTCAACGACTTCTGGCAGATGGCGTGGCAGGAGAACACCCGCGTCATCGTCATGACCACCCGAGAGGTGGAGAAAGGCCGGGTAGGGCACCCCGCCCCATCCCCACATCCGTGCCCTGTCCTTGTGGTCATACCATTAAGTCAAAGAACCGTCAGATGCCAGGGCAGAAAGGGATCTCAGAGGTGAGGGTCCAGCCTTGTTGGGAAACTGAGGGCTAGTGACAAAGTCTCGACTACACGATGCAACCCCCAGATCCCTGCATGCACCCCTGGGCTCTTCTGAGCTCCAGACCCAGGTTTTAGGCTGTCCTCCTTCCTCCTACACCTTCCCCACCTGTCTGCATCCAGGCCCCTCCTGTCCTCCCTGCCCCATAGATGTCTGTGGAGTCTGCCCCTCACTCTGCAGGCTCCCCTTACACAGCACCCTCTGTGCTGCCGTTGAAGTGATGCCATCCGTGACAAACTGGGTCGAGTTCCTTCCTCTCTGAAATCTCTTCCATGGCTCCTGGTCACCTTTGGGATAAAGTCACACTCGAAGGCCTGGCGTTCAAGGCCTGGTGGTTTCCCTCTGACTCCCACGCTTCTCTTGAAGGCTCACCGCTCCCAGCAGCCGCGGCTCTTTCAGGTTCCCAGCCTTTCTTTGCACAAGCTCTTTTCTGCTAGGAAATGACTCTCTCTCCACACTGTCTCTGCCCGGCAGATGCCTCGTGTTTGAAGACACAGCTGAAGCGCTGCCTTCTCTGTGAATTCAGGTCTTGTTTTCTCCAGGACCTAGAGGGCGAGTTTCCTCGTTCCCAGCCACGCTCCTCGGCGCGGTGTCTCCCCGGTCGCTTGTCTCTGTGAGCTCCTCCAGGCACAGGGGCACAGACTGGGTGTTAGCTGCGTCTGTGACTGCAGCCTGGTTTGCACGGCTTCGGGGACAACGCCTGCCTCGGCAATGTTTGTTGAATGACAAATGGATGTACCAGTAAAGCGGCTGGCCAGGTCGCACCACCTGTTGGTGTCTGATCTGAGACGAGAGCCCAGGTCTCCTGCCTCTCTGCCAGCTCATCCATCCATCCAACAAACGTTTGGGCCGGTGCCAGGCACTCAGAACCTAGAGCAGGACCTGGGATGGGCCACAGCGCCCTGCTCTGTGCCTCATCCCCACCCGACCCTCCCTTTCCAGAACAAATGTGTCCCATACTGGCCCGAGGTGGGCACTCAGCGCGTTTATGGTCCCTACTCTGTGACCAACTGCGGGGAGCATGACACGACCGAATACAAACTCCGCACCTTACACGTCTCCCCACTGGACAATGTGAGCGGCCCCCACTCCCTGCCCTGCTCCGGGAGTCCCTCCCGGACTTGTTCTCCTCTCTGGTTGGGTAGGGCGAGACAGGTGGGGTGTTCCGAGGGAGCAGGGGGCACTGACCCTGTGTCCTCGGCCCAGGGGGACCTCATTCGGGAGATCTGGCATTACCAGTACCTGAGCTGGCCCGACCATGGGGTCCCCAGTGAGCCTGGGGGTGTCCTCAGCTTCCTGGACCAGATCAACCAGCGGCAGGAAAGTCTGCCTCACGCAGGGCCCCTCATCGTGCACTGCAGGTGAGGATGATCATCCTGATGGTAGCAGTGGCCGCTGAGAAGCAAATACTGCTACGTGCCATGAGCGTTATAAGCAACATACACGTTAGCTCACACGATTAGTGCCTTCCGCTCACTCCCGGCTTCTTCTGGGTCCCCTCATGGCTCCAAGACCCCTGGGTGGAACGTGGCTGGAACCAGCCCCACTTTGGCCCTCTGCCTGTGAGTGTCTTCCTCAGAGCCCTCCCCAGATGTACCATCTCGCCCAACCCTGCCAAATACAGAGGAGGAACCTGGGACCCAGTTGCTGGCCAGGCCCAAGCTAGGCAGGGCAAGGCCGGGCAGGCACCCACAGTAGGCCTGGGTCCTGGCTGCTCCGCTTTCTCTCCAGGTCTCACTCCGTTGGTTTCTTCTCGCCTCCCAGGAACATCCATGGGGCTTGTGCTCCGCATTCCTCCTCTTTTTCCATCGGTAGACCCAGGGCTTTGGCTTGTTCCTGACTCCGCCCTCTCTCCCAGCTTCCCCAGGCGGCGCCCCATCCTGGCCCCCAGGGCTGTGTGGGGATGGACAATGCCTTTTTGGGGGTGCACATAGCTCCTCTATCTACCCTCATGTTTGTGATCAGGAGACCCTGGTAAGGTGCAGAGGTGGGGGCCTCAAGGAGGAGCAGGAGTCCCACAGGTGAGCCCACTGAGCCCGCCTGGCCTGGGTGGATGAGAGGCAGCGGGTGCAGGGCCCCTCCGCTTACCAGCTGCGTGATCTTGGACAAATTACTTAACTTTTCTAACCCTCAGCTTCCTCCTCTGTAAAATCAGGACCTCAGGGTTGTAGTGAGAACTCAGTGAGACCCTGTCGTTGCGGCTGGAATTCCTCAGCCCTCAAACACGGGGCGCTGTTACTGGTTTAGTAACTCACGTCAGGCAGAGAATGGGGGAAATGGGAACCTGCCTTGCTCTGGTCCCTTCCCACTCCCACTGTGGACCCCAGGCCTGCGACAGTCTCTGGCTTCCTCCTCTTCCCCCAGCAGCTGTTTGTCCTGGGACAAGTCAGCTGAATCTAGAGGTGCCCCCGACGGGCTGTCTCGGGGACCCGGCTCTGTCCTCTGCTCTCTCAGAGACAGGCCCATCCCCAAGAGCTACCCTCCTGCTCACCCGCCACACACGCATCACACACTTCTTGGAAGCCCCGTGGCCTTTATTTAGACGTTACAGGAAGGAAGTGGGTGTGGGGGGTTATTTTTGACAATCTGGGTTTGAAATTAGACAGTGCGACTCAGGGCATCAGCTGATGGGCCCAGCCGAGGGTGGGCCTGGGGTCTCCCTGGCGTCTGTTTGCCCAGGGGTGGGAAAGAAGAGAAGCTTCCTACGGCGCTGCTCCTCCGAGCGCCCTGACCCAGCGCGCCTGCACCCTGCTGTCTCAGGGGTGTCCTTTTCCTGATGTCAGGGTTTGAAGAAAAACGAAGTGAACCGTGCTGAGAGACACACCAGATCTCCTGCAGGGAGAGGCGGGGAGGGCTCAGGGTACCTGGGAGCCGACAGGATAGTGGTGGGATTTGGGGGTCCCAGGTCTTCCGGGGTGGGGGCAGCCACTCACCAGGAGTGGGGAGTTGGCGCGAGGAGTGGAGGAGGGAAGGATGGTGGCAGCCGGGGAGACGGCGTCAGCACCACAGAGCCAGACTGGAGCGTGCCCATGCAGAGCTGGGCAAACGTCCGTCGTCACTTGCCCGGTGACCCTGGGCACATTCCCTCCCATCACTGGAGGCTCAGGCTGCTCCTGTGGTGCCTGGGGCTGGAGCTGAGTACTGGGTACCCCCCTTCCCGGGAGGGCTTGACTGGCCTCTGACCGTACCCCCGTCTTTCCCCAGCGCCGGCATTGGCCGCACGGGCACCATCATTGTCATCGACATGCTCATGGAGAACATCTCCACCAAGGGTGAGGGGCACCTGGGGGCTTGGCGGTGGGGCTGAGCAGCCCCTCGGTGTCTGCCTATGCCTGGACCTGAGGTTTGACTGCCCCCCACCCAGGCCTGGACTGTGACATTGACATCCAGAAGACCATCCAGATGGTGCGGGCGCAGCGCTCGGGCATGGTGCAGACAGAGGCGCAGTACAAGTTCATCTACGTGGCCATCGCCCAGTTCATTGAAACCACCAAGAAGAAGCTGGAGGTCCTGCAGGTGCGTGCAGAGCAGGGCCTGGGGGGCTGCAGTGCGGGGCGGGCGCCACCTGGCCGTGCTGGGACCACCACCCTCCCACCGTCCCTCTGTCCATAGTCGCAGAAGGGCCAGGAGTCGGAGTATGGGAACATCACCTACCCCCCAGCCATGAAGAACGCCCATGCCAAGGCCTCCCGCACCTCGTCCAAGTGAGTGGCCCTGACTGCCACCGCCCGGCATCCACCCCTTTGTCCTGCCCAACCCGATCCTCACTTTCTGGAGAGGACGAGTGTCACAGCTGGGGGGGCCTGGCTTCAAGTTCAGGCTTGGGTCTCACCCTTTCTATTCATAAGCATTTCCCGAGTGCCCACCACGTGTGGGCCTCTGCTAGGTACCAGCCGTGCACTCCTGTATGAGATGTAGCCTCTGTCCTCTAGGAGCTTGGAGTCTAGTGTGGGGACAGTGGCTGGGTCGCCTGTGAGATGGGGTGGCCACAGGGGGCTGCCAGTGCCGAGTCCCCCGCGCTGTCTCCTGACCTGCATCCACTGCCTGCACTTGCCCCCCTGCACCCCGCTGCAGACACAAGGAGGATGTGTATGAGAACCTGCACAGTAAGAACAAGAGGGAGGAGAAAGTGAAGAAGCAGCGGTCAGCAGACAAGGAGAAGAGCAAGGGTTCCCTCAAGAGGAAGTGAGCGGCGCTGTCCTCAGGTGGCCATGGTACAGCTCTTCTGCCTGGGTGTCCTCCCGGCCCTGCCCCATGTCCTTGGCTCCACTGCCTTCCCTGGGTGGATGGGGTGGCCGTAGCCTCACTCTGTGCTTCCCAGATGCCCCAGACCTTCTTGTTCCCCCTCCAGGTTCCAGCCACCCTCTCACTCCCTCACTCGCTTCTCTTGGCAGCCTCATCCCTGAACCTGCGGAAGCCTTCCACGGTGGACAGACTCACAACCTGAACCTAGGAGCGCCCCATTCTATTGTAATTTAAATGGCTGCATGCCCCCCACCTCTCCCTGACCCTGTATATAGCCCAGCCAGGCCCCAGGCAGGGCCAACCCTTCTCCTCTTGTAAATAAAGCCCTGGGATCACTGTGTGTCGCCTCTGAACGCTTTGCTTGCCCAGTGAGTGGTTGCCCAGTGAGTGGGCGGCCGGAGGGCAGGATGGGTAACCGTGAGTGAGTGCCTTCGCGTGAAAGCTCCGCCTTCTGTCAGACGGACGTGGGTCGGGGCTCCGCCTCACACGCGGGAGGGTGACCGTGGGCGAAGCTCCCCAGTCTCCTTCTTTAAAATGGAGGGCGATCATAACAAGGTGGTTATGAAAAGCACCAAGATGACGGCCGACGATAAGACGGGCACAGTGACTCACCACAAGCTCGCCATGTGCGAGCACTAAAAGACTACACACGATAGTTCAGTCTAGGCACTTTTATCATTCTCATTTTACAGTGGAGGAAACTGAGGCACAGAAAGACTAAGTAAGTTGGTCACTTGCCCAAGGTCACAGGGTTATGGAACAGTGAAGCTGGGATTTGAACCCAGGCCGTCTGGCCCCAGAGTCCACACTCCTTACCCTGGAGTTGCAGCTGGGGCCACCCTCAGGGGGGCCTGATCACACTCCCCTGATGCCGACTTCCAGATCTGAACTAAGAAGAGTAGTTAACAGCCGGAAGCGCAGACCCGAGGCCAGCCCTGCTGCGTCCCCTCTGGCGGGAACAGGGACTGGCTCCTCGGTGCACCCAGGCGCGCCCAGCTCCTCCCCTCACCCAGGCTGCTGCCGCCCTTATCCTTTTGGGCAGAGTTTGAAGAGCTGGCTGGCTTGAAGATTGCTTTGTTTTTTGGTCCCCTCTTCTTTCCCCCATGTCAGGATTGGCGTTTCTTCTTTATTTGAAACACTGGTCTCCTGGGGAGTAAAGCCGGTGGGACTCATCCCTCAGGAAGGGCTGGCGCCCACTCCCGGAAAGGCTGAGACGGCACAGGTTCCAAAGCCCAGAGGCTGGGCGTGCATTATTCAGCAAGTCCTTCTTATAGAGGCCCCGGCACCACAGGCATTGGCAGTCCCCCGAATTGGAATTTAGGCTGGTCAGGGAGACAGATTCACAACCCGATCACAAGCATCAAATAATTGCTGGCGGGTATTAAGAAGGAAGCAAACAAAGACCTGGAGAGAGAACAGCTAGGGATTGAGCAACACAATAGCTCCCTGGGGCTACGGCCCTCCAGGGCGCGGGTGGGGCAATCACCTGTCGGGCTCAGGTCCCCGCTCCCAGCAACGCCCTTTCTATCCCAGCCGGAGCTGCACAAAGGCAAGTCCCACCTCCTCTAACCGCCCTTGGGCTACCTGCCCTTGGGGTGGGACTTGGACTCCACTGAGGGCTGTGCTGTGAGGTGGGTCCAGGAGCAGCTCGGTCCGGAGAGTGGAGCGCGATCATTCCCTCTGCAGGCCTCAATCGAGGGGCAGGGCTGATGCTCCGGGCCAGCTGGGGTCTCTGGGTAGCGGTGGGTAACTCCACACTAGGGGCACCTTGCTGGGACCCACCTGCCCTTCACAGGCCTGGCGGGGCCTTCTCCCTCCTCTTTCCCTCAGGGAATCCCAGCACAGGCTGGGCACCGCGTGGCGGCACAGCCCAACTCCTGCCCAGCTGACCCCTCGCTGACCTCAGGGATCTCTCTGGCCTTCCAGCTCTGCTGTGGGCAGGGTCTGAGGCCACAGAAGAATGGGCTAGTCCTGGGGGCAGCAGCTGCTGTGGGGAGGGGACCTGAGAACAGCCCCCCTCTTTTTGTTCCTCTGGAGAGAGGGGTGAGACTGGGCAGGTTGGAGGAAAGAGGCCCCTGGGAGAGGGTGGGAGGCCTAGAGGAGTGGCCAAGCCTTAGAGGAGGTGCCCATGACTGGCGCTGGGAGGGAAGGGGTTAAGGCAGTGAGGGGGCAGCCTATGGCAGGAGGACACACCTGTGCGCAGGGTGGCAGGCGGGGCCCAGGTAAGGAGCCTGCGCTGCCCGGCAGGCGGAGAAGGAAGGAGGAAGAGCGGAGGCCAGGGCGGGCTCTAGGCCGTGGAATCTGGGGCCTTAAAGCCCCTTCCTCTCCCCGGCACCCACTCTCTGGGGGCAGGCGGGCCTGCTGACAGGTAAAGGCCACCAGGGGAGAGGTCCTGGGCTGAGCTAGGGACTGCAGAGGGGGGACGAGGGTGGGTAAATCGGTGTGTATTGCGGGTCGGGACAGGCTGCGGGGGTGGGGGAAGGTGGCTCAGAGGCAGGGGGCCGACGGGCGAGGGGCTTCGGAAGGCTGCTTGGACCGCAACCTGGGCCTAGCAATCAGCGACCCAGGGTGTGGCTGGTGGCGGGTAGCAAGGCTCACCAGGAAGTGTCCCCAGGGACTCGGGTGGTGGGGGGATGGGAGCCAGGGATCTGCAGCTTTTCCGCAGGGAGCCTGGGCCTGAAGCTGCCTGACCCAAGGTGGGCGGGCTGGGTGGGGGCCCTCGTCTTACCCAGCAGTGTTTGGGTGCGGTTGGGAGTCTCTAATACTGCCGGGTAATGATGGAGGCCCCCGTCCCTGTGTCAGCAACATCCATCGCCTCAGGTCCCCAGCTCTTAGCTGGCTGCAGCCCCCTCCCCACTTCCCACGCTCCCCGGAAGCCCCTTGTCTTGAGCTGAGAGTGCTGTACAAGGGGTGGCTCTTGTTGACTGGCTGCCACTAAGGGACACAATGGGCCCCAGCCCCTCCTCCCACCCAGTGCGATTTGTCACCTGGTGGATCTAGAACCCACAGTCGACCTTGAGCTTGGGGTTGGCTCGCCCCCTCTCAAGAGACCTGACCTGGCCTGTGGCCAGGGTCCCTGTAGCAACTGGTGAGCATGCACCGTAGTTCTCTTTTGGCCGGCCCTGGGCCCATCTTCCAGTACAGTGTTGGATGGTCTAATTGTGAAGCTCCTAACACTGTCTGGTAAAGATGGCCCCCGGGTCGGTTTTTCGGCAGTGACCTTCAGGGACCCCTGAAGACCATGGAGGACTACTGACCAACAACCTCTGACCTTCACCCCTCTGGATGGGGGGACGAATCACTAGGCAAAGGGGAACAATGGGAAGAAGACAAAATGGCTGCCTTTACGGCTGCAGCAAGATTTGGAAACACTGGTTCCCTAGGCACCTCCATTGTCTTCCCGCTTTGGGAACATGAAATAAAGTGTGAATGGGAACATGAGGAAGACTGACCCAGGTCACTTGACCTGTCTTTTGTCTAATTGTTGATCTCAGCCTCCCAGCAACTCAGGATTGGGGCTGCGACGTCTGCTTTGTCCTTCGATACTCAACCCTAAGCAGAGAAAAACATCTTAAAAATCGAAGCTAATTAACCCAGTCCCTCTGTTCAGATCCACCTGCTGCCCTATCTGCATTTGGCAGTTCCTGTACATACTTTGCCCCCATGTTTTGTCTGAGTTCTACATCTTCCTTGTCTCCCCGCAGGGATGGGAAATGGGCAGTAGTGGGAGATTCAGGTATAAACAGTGGCTTTGTTTCTCTGGTGCCTGAGATTCAGGAAGGCCTGTCTTGGGAAGATAAGTGTCAGCTTATCTGTGGACTGAACAGACAGGCACCTGTTCCGTTGGCCCCAGAGCTGTGGGAAAGCCCACCTCCACAGGGGGGCCCTGTTAGCGAGCAGCTCCTCACGCCTGGTGACTGAGAAATGGAGTGTGGGTGGCCTATAGCAGGCCGCGCAATCCACCGGGCTTCTGGGCACAGAAGTGCCTCAACAGGCACAGGCAGGCTCCCCACAGCCACAAGGAACCCTGCAACCAAGGAAGCAGCTCTGTTGGGGTCATCAGATTTTAAATCTGGCTCAGCAAAGCCATGGCTGTCCAGCCTTTAAAAAACAGGTGGTGTGGGAGAAATGGAGGGTGGGGTGAAGAGCACAGCTGGGCCTCCAGAACTCAGGGCCAGCCTTCCCAGTTTGGGTCCTGTTTTGGAGCCCAGGCCCAGCTTCCCCGTAGCTGCCCCAGCCAGATTTGTTTGCGCCCCCTGCTGGCAGACACAAAGACAGACTCAGGAGCGCATATGTGAACGTGCGCATGCGTGCTGCCCGTTATCCAGTTCGTGAACACGTGAAGCGTGAAGCCTTGACTTCAGGTTAAGTAATAAAAATTTATTGAGAGTTCCTGGGTTGGTGGTTGTCTCCTCCCAGCCTTGAGGGAGGGAACAACACTGTAGGAAATCACTGAGAAATCACACAATGTCCCAACAGCCCCAGTTAACACAGGGAGGAGGAAAGTAATTCCCCAGAAAAGGGGCTGGTCTTCAGTCTTCCTTAATCCAAGAGGGGTTCAGGGGATCGGTGTGGGGGACCATCGCATGATACTGGGGCGGGGTAGGGCTGTGCTGGACCCCTGGCTGGCTCCTTAAAAACTGGAGAAGCAGATCCACTTCCTCTGGGGGTGGAGTTCTTGGTGACTAGGCTCATTTCTTACCCTTGATGAGGCTGTCACTGTAGAAAAAAAAGATGATGACATTATTAGGGGACATAAATGTGAGACGCAGGACACTCCAGGCCATTCCCTTTACGACCCTCCTACCCCGATTGAGGGTTTGTCTGCGGGGAGGTGGGAAAGGGAGTAGGGTAGGAGGCAGGTACTGGGAGAAGGTGGCCTGCAGGACCCCACAGAAGCAGCAACAACTTACCTTCCTCTGTGGTGCCAGATCGCCAGATGAACAGGAAGCAGAGAAGAGAAATGCACATGTTAGCTGACAGCTTCAGGCCCCACTCAAGTTTTGAACCCTCCTTTGCTCCCAAGAGAAAAGACAAACAGGGTTGACAGCCAGGAATCTCTGATTCATGAAAGGAGGTGGCGTGTTCTCATGGCCACTGCTATTTCTCATTTCCTTTCCTAACATCCCTCCCTCCACCAAAGGAGTTTGAGGGCTCTTGAGTAAGAACACTGAGTATCATCTTTCATCACTTTTTGGTTGGATGAAAACTTTATAATTAAAGTGCTTTTTATGTGAATAATCCTATTTGATCTCATAAAATCAATCCTATGAGACATAAGATAGAAACTGTCAACCACCCCCTTTTCTAATTTTGGTTCAGTGTCTCTCAGAGCCATATGAATAGCTGTAGCAGGCTCCAGAGCCCAAGCACCCAGACCCAAGTCCCACGTTCTTTGTGAGACCCCACTGTGTGGCCACATCTCTCACCTGGTGAAACTTTCATCCTGTAGGTTCAGCACGAGGTTGTCAGCCGTGAGATAAATGCGATTCTGTGATGTGGCGATCTACAGGGCAGGAAATACAAAGACCTCAATTCCACCCCTGCAATTCAGTAGCCACTTAATGGAACACATGCAGATTAGTAGAGGAATATAGCAATGAATAAGACATGGTTTCTACTCTCATTTAGGGATCCAGAGCAGTGAGCAGCAGCCATGACTATTAGCAAAGTAACAGAGGCAAGAACAAAAGGTCAGGGAATCCAGAGGAATCATTCTTGATGAGGGGAAGAGTACTGGAGAAGCCAATTATTTATTTATTTATTATTTTTATTTTTTATTTACTTAGTTTTTTTTTTAAGATGGAGTCTCGCTCTGTCACCCAGGCTGGAGTGCAGTGGTGCGATCTTGGCTCACTGCAAGCTCCGCCTCCCGGGTTCACGCCATTCTCCTGCCTCAGCCTCCCAAGTAGCTGGGACTACAGGCTCCCGCCACCACGCCCGGCTAATTTTTTGTATTTTTTTAGTAGAGATGGGGTTTCACCGTGTTAGCCAGGATGGTCTCGATCTCCTGACCTCGTGATCCGCCCACCTCGGCCTCCCAAAGTACTGGGATTATAGGCGTGAGCCACTGCGCCCGGCCTATTTACTTATTTTTTTGAGACAGAGTCTCGCTCTGTTGCCCAGGCTGGAGTGCAGAGGCGCTATCACGGCTCACTGCAACTTCTACCTCCCAGGTTCAAGCAATTCTCTGCCTCGGCCTCCTGAGTAGCTGGGAGTACAGGTGCCCGCTACCACGCCTAGCTAATTTTTTTTTTGTATTTTTTTAGTAGAGACAGGGTTTCACCATCTTGGCCAGGCTGGTCTTGAACTCCTGACCTTGTGATCCGCCCACCTCGACCTCCCAAAGTGCTGGGATTACAGGTGTGAGCCACCACGCTCAGCTATTTATTTTTGAGACGGAGTCTTGCTCTGTTGCCCCGGTTGGAGTGCAGTGGCGTGATCTCAGTTCACTGCAACCTCTGCCTCCTGGGTTCAAGTGATTCTCCTGCCTCAGCCTCCTGAGTAGCTGGGAATATAGCTAAACACCATCACAGCAGGCTAATTTTCTTTTGTATTTTTAGTAGAGATGGGGTTTCACCATGTTGGCCAGGTGGGTCTTGAACTCCTGACCTCAGGTGATCCACTGCGCCGGCCATAAAACCACTCTGAGTAGAAACCCGAACAAGCAAGGTTTGAATTCCCTCACCTCAATGTGCCTTAACTGAAAGCACTTTCTCAAGGCAGCCCCATCAGAGACACTGGGCTGACACACTCACCGTCTTGGAGATATTCTGGGCTGCTCGGATCTTGCGAAGTTTGATGTAGCCAGGGTTCTTGCTCAGTGCTTCTCCAAGGTGAGGAGGGTTAAGGTTCACACAAGGGCAGGTCTCAATCCCTGGCCCCGTCCTTACCACACTCCCTTGCTACAGTCCTCCTCTGGGCTGTCAGATCAAGGTTGCGCTCAGGTGGCTTGTGCTCGCTCTACCTTGGACCCCACCTGTGGGCCTCCCTGCAGGCTGCTGCCAGGAACTAGGGGCAGCAGCAGAAATGAAGGCAAGGCCAGCAGTGCTATTGATCTGGCCTTACAGTGGGGAGTCAGGGCTCAGGTACCCCCACTAAGATTTCAGATCTCATCTGTAGCCCCACCCCCAACAAGGTGCCAAGGGCCAGAGAGCACGGAGTCGCATTCGCCTTAGTCTCATCAGCCTGCCCGTGAAGGAGGATGGGGAACTCAGGCGCCCTAGGGGCTGGGCCGAGACCTCTCACGCAGAAGGATATCATCTTGGCAGCCTCGGCCTCACCCTCGGCCTGCACAATCTTCTGCCGCTGTTCCTGCTTCGCTTTTTCTACCAAGAATTGGGCCCGCTGGGCCTCCTGCTGGGCTGTAGCGGGAGAGAGTCAGGGAGACCGTGTGCGGGGTCAGGAGCCCCGTCCACCGAGTCTTTCCTCCTCCTGCATCTCGGAAGCCCTCACCCCACTGCTCGTGCGACTCACCCACTTGTTTGGCTTCTACAGCAGCTGTGTACTCTCGGCTAAAGCTCAGCTCTGTGATGGCCACGTCATCCAGGATGAGGCTGAAGTCCTTGGCCCTCTCTGTCAGCTCCCGGCGGATCAACAGGGATACCTGGGGGCAGGGGTGGGGAAGGGTGGTTTGAGGGGACTGGGTTGCGACCCCGAATCCTTCACTCTCTCAATACAATATGCGCTGCCTTAGCTTCCTGTCAGGCAAACCTATAACATAAGCCTCTCTGCTGAAAGAGGTGCAGGAAAAGCCAAGACTTGGCCATTTTCCTCTGTGCTTCCTAATACCAAGTGCTACCGAGTTCTAATGCTGGCTCTCCTTATCTCACAGTGGCAATTAGCACAGCTTTTAGGTGGAAATGGCAATAGGGTGACAATCCTCTTCTATTAAGCTGCCTTTCCTAATTCCTACTACTCTGGGTCTAGAAGGGAAAGGCTGACACCATGCAGATGGTGGTGGGAGTCAGACCTGGGCCCGCTGGGTGATCAGCTGTGAGGCATTGAACTTGGCCACCACACTCTTGAGCACCTCGTTGACAATGGACGGCAACACTCGTTCCTCGTAGTCCAGCCCTAGGCGCTGGTACATGCTAGGAAGCTCCTGAGCATTGGGTCGAGACAGCACTCGCAGGGAGATGTTCACCATCTGTAGGTCTGAGATTGAGGTCAGCAGTGGCTGGTCAAGGCCAAACACCCTTTCCCAAGCATTTTCTCCTTCATGTTCCTCCCTATATGCCCTGTGCAATGATGTACAGCCTGGCACTGCCCTGGGGGGAGGAGAGTTAATCAGGCTGACAAGGAACACATGAGGCAGCACAGGTGAAATGCACCCTCACCCACTGTGAAGCCTGGAACTGCAACCCCATCACCAGCAGGGCTGACTGCTTTTTCCCCCTCTGTACTCCATGCAACCTCTAATGTGGGTGCTTTCACGCTGTACCGTAATCACATCTCCTATAAGGACTTGGGGGACAAAAATGTGCTTAATGAATCTTGTATTCCAGGGCCCAGCAGTCTAATAAATGAATAAGCCACCTGCACTAGGTATAGCACAAAGAAGTACATTACAGGTTACAGGTGACCTACCTCACCCAGGGTGTATGCGTGTGTGTGTGTGTGTGTGTGTGTGTGTGTGGGGGTGGGTGGGGAGGAGGAAGAGGTCTGGGGAACTCAAAGGCATGGCTTTTATGTGTGGTCTAGAAGGAGAGAACAGGTGAACTAGTCAAGGGTAGGGACAAACTTCTCCAGAACAGAGTATACTAGTGGATGTAACTGTAGATATAGTAAGTCAAGCAGTTAGAAAAAAAGGCTTTAAAACAAGGCTTTGATCTAGGCAGTGAATAAGACAAGGACAAACAATACTCTTATTGAATATGTCAGGGATGAGACAGTAAAAAGCATGCAAACACAGGGTGTTCAGAATGTGCTGCTTTGACCCCAGGAGGCAGGTATTTTTGTTACAGTTCTTGCAGACATGGAAACTAAGGCCTAAAGGCCTGACACTACCATCTTCACCTGGGGTTTCTTGCCAGCTCCCTTGATCATCCCACCTGCCATGTGATTACCAAGTGCTCAGACCTACCTTTGGAGCCTGTAGGGGAGGAGATTTTTCGAGGTCTGGCCCGAATGTCATAGATAATGGGGTACTGGAACCAGGGGATCCTGGAGGGGACAGGGATAGGTATTAAGAGGCTGCAGTTTCGGCCAGGAGCGGTGGCTCACGCTTGGAATCCCAGCACTTTGGGCGGCCGAATCATTTGAGGTCAGAAGTTCGAGACCAGCTTGACCTATATAGTGAAACCCCGTCTCTACTAAAATACAAAAATTAGCCGGGCGTGGTGGCGGGCGCCTGTAATCCCAGCTAATCGTGAGGCTGAGGCAGGAGAATCGCTTGAACCCAGGAGGCGGAGGATGCAGTGAGCCGAGATCGCGCCACTGCACTCCAGCCTGGGCGACACAGCAAAACTCCCGCGCCCCCCTCCCCAAAAAAAGCCGCAGTTTCACTAGCTTTGCCCGGTTTCCCCTAACCACGCGTTTTTTGGCCTGCTCCTCCCCATGACCACCGACAAGGAGAGATTCTCTTGTCCCTTTGGAAAACAACAGTTCATATGCTGCTGGAGGTTCGCGCAGCACCCACTATCCTAGGAGCAGGGATGAGGAGGGAGGGAAAAGAGCAGCGTTGAATCCTGTTGCACGTCCCACTACAGCCACTGCTGGGTCGGCGTCAAGGGTGAAAGGTCAGGGTCAGTAAGCTCTGCCCGCCATTACCTGAAATGAAGGCCCTCGGCCAGGATAGTGTCCTGCTGCACTCCACCGATCCGATTGAAGAAGATGGCTCTGTGCCCGCCTTCCACTGTGGGGAGAGGGGTGGTGATCAGGCCAGGCCACTGCTCAGAGTAAATGCTAGCTAGGCTCGTGGTGGGGCGCGGGGACCGGTGAGATAGGGCAAGGGGTTTGGGGGAGGGACTGGAAGCGTCCGGCGAGCAGGCGAAGGTTGCTCACCAGTGAACACGGATTCGCGTACACCGTACGCCACGGCGCCGGCCCCCAGCAACAGCTTCAGCGCCGTGCCCATGCCCCGGGGCCCGGCGGGCAGCCGTCCCGCCAAGTCCTTCAAGTTCTGGGCCATGTCTGATCTTGAGGCCGGCGGCACCGGAGGTCAGAAGGGGGTGCCGGCCCGCCTCTACCCGGCTGCAGCTTAGGTACTGCACCCTTCACACGAGGGTTCGGGCCCGTAATACTGGCGAAAGAAAGGGCACCGGAAGTGCGCTCCCTTGGAAACCCTCCCCCTTAGCCCACTACCGACCCGAACTTCGCGCACAGGAAGAGCGCATACGGAAGTCCCGCCCTTTTCTGGAGGGCTGCCCTCCCAGGGAGGGCAGCGCAAGACGGCAAGTCATCGCCATTTACAAGCCCACTTTCAAAATGGCAGCCGGAAGGAAATTTGTGATTAGAAGCCTCACTGTTCTCATTTAAGAGCGTTAGCGCAACTTCCGGTCTGGTTGCAAGATGGCCGCGTCCAGTGGTGGATTCAAGCCTCGTGAACGAAGCGGTGGAGAGCAGGCACAGGACTGGGATGCTGTGCCACCCAAGCGGCCCCGACTAGGGGCAGGAAACAAGATCGGAGGCCGTAGGCTTATTGTGGTGCTGGAAGGGGCCAGTCTGGAGACAGTCAAGGTAGTTTGGGACAGGAAGTGGATAAGTAGTAAATCAATAGACTGGGATCCGTGGAATGAGGGTGAGGGGCTCAGAGTGGATGGAGAAAGCAGAGAGGGGTGAAAGATGCTTTTGAAGGAAGATGGGTTGGTTGGCTGTGCGTTGATCTGACATCCTGGGATGGTAGTGCTCATTTTTCTTTTCTTTTTTTTTTTGAGACGGCGTTTCGCTCTGGCGCCCAGGCTGGAGTGCTGTGGCGCGATCTCACTCAGTGCAACCTGTGCCTCCTGGGTTCAAACAATTCTCCTGAATCAGCCTCTCGAGTCGTTGGGACTATAGGCACGCGCCACCATGCCCGGCTAATTTTTTGGGTTTTTTTAAGTAGAGATGGGGTTTCACTGTGTTGGCCAGGCTGGTCTCGAACTCCTGACCTCAAGTGATCCGCCCGCCTCGGCCTCCCAAAGTGCTGGGATTACAGGCGTGAGGCACCGTGCCCGGCCGGTAGTACTCATTTTCTTTTGCTCTTCTTGAATGCCATTCCAGCCCTCACCTCTTTGCTTCCAACTGGTTTACCAGGATTCTGTGATACAGTAGTCTAAGGAGAGGAAAGTTTCGTTTGTTGCATCATTCCACATCCCAAGACGAGTTACTGGGCAGATGAGAAAGGTAGTTATGTAGCCTAGTCTGCCCTCCCTTTTTGTAAGGGCTTCATGTTTCAATTCATTAGTGTCCACAGTCACCTCTCTCTAATATCCACCTGGAAACACTGTCCAGACCAGGTTATTGTTTAACACTTTTACGTCTGCATTTTTATCTATCATTCATGTCTTCTCCACATGTAATAAATAGAACCAGCAATTCTCTATCTTAAAGCCTTGGGCAATGTTCTTCCTCCTTTCTCTTACCCTTTAGAAATAATTCAATGAGTAGGCCCAGGAGAAATTGCATGGGTTTAGAAGTCAGACCAGGATTTTAGTCTTCGTTCTAAATACACTTTGTGTGCGTGTGTGTGTGTGAAACAGAGCCTCAGTCTCTCCCAGGCTGGAGTGCAGTGGCATGATCTTGGCTTACTGCAGCCTCCACCTCCCGGGTTCAATCGATTCTCCTGCCTCAGCCTTCAGAGTAGCTGGGATTACTGGCCTGCACCTGTAATCTATTAAAGGAATAGAAAACATGGTTGTATCCTACTAATGGGTTGAAACTATTATTCATTCAAGAAGGTTTTTTCTTCTATAACTAAGGATGTCTCATGGACTTAGTTCTTCGTCATTTGTTCTTTCTTTGTGCTTACTCTGTGACATTGCTACTTCAACTATTCAATTTCAAAATCTGTATCCCTTTTTTCGCAGACTTTTTGGAGCCATGTATCTCAAGAATGTTGCTAGACATATACAAACATTCTAGTGATACATAAAAACTTAGCCTTCCAAAACCTGTATTTGTATATAACAGTTTGTTTTTAGGCTTTTTACTGACCACCCTAATGCTCCTTGGGACTCCAAATTGCAACTTGGAATTATTTCTTTTAGCTGCTACAGATGTAGTCCACTTCTTTATCATCAAACTTCTGATGTCTTTTTCAGTGTACACAGAGTTGTTAGGATAGTGTCTGTCAGTCATTCCCATCCTGCCCTTCTTACTCCAGAATTATTTTTGGCTTTGTGCTTGATACATTAGGATTTTGTGGTTTACAAAGCAGCTTCATATATAATCACTGCCCTTCAGTGTCCCAGCTCCCAATTTTCCTCAAAATTTCCTTTCTTCGTTTCCACTTTTTTGTTTCTTTTTTGAGACAGGGTCTCGCTCTGTTGCCCAGGCAACAGAGTGCAGTGGTGTGATGGCTCACTGCAGCCTCTACCTCCCTGGCTCAAGCAGTCCTCCCACCTCATCCTCCTGAGTAGCAGGGACTGCCAGCAAATGCCACTGCACCTGTTTTTTTTTTTTTTTTTAATTAATAACCTGTTACAAACAAGCTTAATTATGCAATCACATTCCACCCATACAGGGCTG